TACAGCTCGACTGGCCAATCACCACCAAGCAGAGAACACAATTTTATAAAAAAAAACCCCAATATGACTCATGTACAATAGTAAAGCCTAGGAATTCAAAATACACTCAAAACAAATACAAAACTCACTGGAAGATGCTTGGGAACCAATGATTCCAAAACCTAAGATACAAAGGGGGAAAATTCAAGTATGAATGCTTTTCTAAATGAAACTATTTCAGGATGACCAAACCATCTATGAGATAATTCTCTTTATAGAATCAGTCCAGAGAATACACAAATGAAGAATTAGAATATTATTCTATAACTGTCAATAAAAATATAACAAGCATATCACTTGGATGGAAGACAGTATGTGCTTTTGCCAAAAAAGCCCACATCTGAATCCTGAGAAACTCCAGTTTACAGGAACTAAGGGGATGGAGTAATGGTATATAATAACATGAGGACAAAGTCACCAAGTCCAGAGTGGAGCGTGCTCCACAGAACAAAAGACCCAGCTTTCCCAACAAATACATTTCAAGGAGAAAGTAAAGAGTGAAAACCCACAGGATAAACAAGAAAGAGTATAGATCTTCCTGACTCTTGATTTTGAATAAGCCAAGGACAGTACACAGATTATGAGCTACTCAAGAAGACGTGAACACTGACTGAAAATACAACAACATGAAGGAGTTACTTAGGGGGAAAAAAGATGCTTTCTTAATATGCTGCTTTTGTTGTAAAGAATGCATTTATCTTTTAGAGCTACATATTAAAACTCATTAATGAAACTATTATCCCTAGGATTTGCTTCAAAGTAATCCAGTTTCCGTCAACAGGGGAGGAACTGGGCTATGGAATATGTATGAAACAGGACACCCAAAAGGGGGTAACTGTTGAACCTCCCAAACACACTTCACCAGGCTTCATTAAACTGTTCTAAGTTTAATGGCTTGATTTTTTTCATGATAACAAGTGAAAAAACAGAAATAAATCAAGGGTTCCCTGCAGGTTTTGTTCATTTGAGTAAGACAGCATACATAAATGGAGAAAGCTGTCAATTGGAGAGAACTGAAGAGGGAGGCTGCTCTCAGAAGGAGGAAGACATATATACTTTGCTAAGCATGCACAGGAAATGCCATCAGTCTTAGGCACAAAAAAAGACTCACCATGGTATATGTGTGCCAGGTCCAAAAGGCTGGGCCACAGAGCAAATGTTTCTGCTACAGGGAGTGCAAGGTGACAGTGAAAGGCAGGAAGCATGTGTGTGGAGGAGGCATATTCAGACGCACAGCCACGTGTGTATTGAGCTGATGGAACAATTTGGGTTCTGAACAACAGACAACACTGACTCCCATGTGCAAAACTGAATAGGGGCTTAACAAGCCTGAGAAACCAGAGAGTAGGTGTTTCTAACAAATACATGAATTAAGGATGCATTGACAAAAATCTGGTTGCTCTGCAAATGGGGGGATGAAAGGAGAGACTAAAGACAAGTGGGAGTGTGGAGAAAGGTCTGGAAGAGAAAGGGCAGGTGGGAGGTAGGACCCCCTGCAGGTGGCAGATGTTGGGCTGAGTCTACCTGTGAGTAGAAAGTATTGACATACTTGCAGTGTTCTCTCACAGTTTAGTTCAAAGAGGGCGATGGGGAAAATACTCCTTCTTTTGATCTCATAAATCAAAGTATAAACTCTGTGCCAACATAATTTAACATCTGTGTCTTTTTTTCTCCTTAAAATTATTAGTTCTGGAAAATGGAAAATCTAAAGAGAAAAAATTAGTAGAAGAATATTTTACGTTAGAAACCAAATATTTCCTTTACAAAAACTACTACTACAGAATTATAAATCATATTACTAATTTTTCCTTGATAAACTAAGTTTAGTAAACCTTACAGGTAATCTTCTGAAATCTCTGATACCAAAAAACTGTAAAGATGTTAACTGTTAATTGTGTGGGCAACTTTTGAGTATAGTAGAAAGAGTGCTGAAGATAGAAAACAAACAAACAACAATAACCAAGAAGCCAAGGTTTTACCACTCTCAGATAATTAGTTCTAAGTACAAAGCAATTTTGCTGCTGCTGCTGCTGCTGTAAAATAATGAGAAAACTACGAATATTTCTAGGTGAAATTTTGTGCACATTTGTTTTAACAACTTACTGAGAACTAGCTATTTCAAAACCAAGTAAAAAGGATGAATTAAAATTTCAAAACTAAATTTTTTAAAGAAGATTAAGCTTAGTTACTATGTCATCCTGATCGACGTCTAAAATTTTGGACATGAAATGTTAAGAGTTGACGAAATAAAAATTTTACCTTCCTAACAAACACAGTAACACAAATAATCAGAGAACCACAGAACACCAATCTGGAAAAGAATTCTTATGTTTGCATTTATTACACAAATAATTTTTAAGAGATGATGATCATGATGAAAATAATACAGCTATATGAAAGAAAAATACCCTGGAAAGCCTGACGCAGACCCGAGACAACCATTTCCTACCACACAGGGTTGCTCAAACTGCCCTTTGCGTATTATTTCTCCATCTCTTATGTTTCATATGGGTCAAAACGAATTACCACTTCCCAGAGTCCTTATGATTTTTAAGGCTGGTCTGTAACAATGAGTTCAGGTGTGGACATAAACAGTGACTGCAAGTCTTCCTGTAACAGTTTGAAAAGGTCCCGCAGGCCTGCTCTATGTCCAGAACCCTCTTTTGACTAAAATCAAGGAGCCTTAATGTCCAAGTAGTCAAAGCATTTGGCTGCTAACAGAAAGGTCTTCAGTCTGAAGCCTCAGAAGAAATATAAGCCTGTCTACGCCATAAAGATCTACAGCCTTGGAAGCTAGAGGCAAATCCACTGTCTCAAAGGGTTGATAAGTGGAAAATGACTTGATGGTAGTAGTTTAGTGGGGGGCGGGTTGGGGGAGGGATAAGTATATGACCATGAAGAGAGAAAAGAGGGTCACACCCAAATCTTGGGATTTCCAGAGGAAGGAAAAAGGGCCTCAAAGGAGGACAAGATAAGAGGAAAGATGATTTTCAGGCAGAATGCAATGAAAACCTCCTCCCAAAGTCCCAAAACCTTTCTAGGTGCTCCTTCTTTGAAGAACTGTTATCTCTGCTTAATATCAAATAAGGCATCAAAAAGATCTAAGTAAATACAAAAGGCTAAAAAAAAAAAAACAAAAAAGAAAAGAAAAAGCCCTGCAGCAGTATACGCGGATAAGGAAATTAAAAGAATAAAATTATCAACTCCCTAAACCCTGATCCCCAAAATAGGCACACTGAACTGCGGCTCAGCACTGAGATTTCACCATGGACAGTACGTTTATCGTTCTTTTAAAAAAGGGCTGTTTCTGACAAAAGTAACTCACTTTAAATGACATCTGTAAAGAAGAAAATTCATTCCAGGGAGAAGCACAGTTCCTCCTGCAAGTAATTTACCTTGTGGACCCTTCAGGGCAACTCTTCTAATGGCCACTGTCAAAATAACCACTGAAGCCATCCATATACAAAAGTGAAAAGTCAGCCCCCAGTCTCAACACTGTAATTTAATTTTACTGACACACTCAACTTTTAAAAGTTTCTCTGTTTGTATGTATTCCTAGATATTTGCAAATGACAAGAATGTAATGAGGGGACAATTATTATTTGTTCTACTGAGAAACAGGGCATGCCTTTTCTCACCCATCAAGTTAGACTCTCCTTTACAAGCTGATAATCCTGTTTTTGAGGTACAGAATGTAGGCATCAGCCAGAGGTATACGCCTAACAGCTGCAGGAGAGGTTTTGGGAAGATGAAAAAGGAGAAAACAGAAATCCGTTATGCAAACTATACATTGCCAAAGCTTTACTTCACACTGGTTAATATTTCTAGTGTACATTATAACCAGAGCAACTGTATAGTATTACATATTAATAATGGAATGATTATTATCAATGGCCAAATAATCACTTCATAATTTACTATCTGACTGAAGGTGGAACTTGTCACTGAATCCTTAGAAGGACCTCCCTGGGTACTGATGATATTCCAAATCAAATTACAAAGATGTCGGAAAGTAATTCTGAGTTCCCTGAGTGTGAGCTGCCACAGTGTCAGGGAAGAGCTCACCACCTCTTCCCAGCACGTAACTCCAAAGGGAACATGCTCAACCAACAAAAGCAGAATTGACACACCAGTACTTTCTGGGTGAAGCTGACATTAGTAAATTTACTACACATAATATGAAATGATTGATCCTAAATAATCTTTTTTATTTTTAATGACTTGAAAGCATTCCAGGAAGAATACAGTTATTTCTCTAAAGTCGTCACAGCAAAAGTGGTAGTCAGCCTGTCACACCTAGTGAAAGCGGAAATCAAATCCAGGACAATCTGTAGCACCTGAAGTAATGCTATGTCATGTGCTGTTCAAAATTTTTATTCTGACATAGTTTTACGAGATTTTAGCATTATATGTCAATAAACTTGGGATGAATCAAGCGAGAACGCAGTGTAGTTATCACTGAAGGAAAGTTTCAATACGCAATACACATCTGCAGAGGGTCTACCAAATATTAATACTGCATAAAATCTAAATAAAAATACATTGAAACAAGCAAGCAAGGACTCAAAGGTCACTACAAAAAAAGATAAGCTACTAAAATGCTAGTTTTTATTTAAGCAGAACTTGTTACTTTGATGGGAAGATTATATTTAAAATTTCCATTTGCTGGATCTGTTCTATGCTGCGAGAACACATGTTTGCACGTACACACACACGCACGCGCGGATTCCCAGGACACCAGCGAGGCCTCTTTCAGGCCCCTTAAGTGTTAACAGCAGAGGCCTGGCTGCGACCAGGCGTCTGGCCAGATTTAAATGCCCTGGTCTTCAGAGGGCTGCGGTGAGCACAGCCATAAAATGAGGGGACATTTCGAACCCCAGAGTGTCTGCTATCCCCTTCCTTCCCCCCCCCCCCACATTTCACTCCCACAATTAAGACTGCGAGCTGGCATTCCATTTAACTGTCAAACTCAGACCGGTGGCAGCCCCACAGCCACAAAGAGATGCCTTAAATGAGAAGAACATGTTCCTACACCGCATTTGAGAAAGTTTGGCTCAGAGCTACGCACTGATTAATATCAGATCTCCTCCTTCACTCACCTCTCGACACTCTTGTCACATCTGGCTGACAAATCCTGGGGAGCTTAATGCAGAGCCCAGCAGCCAAGAGCGCTTGGGGTCTGGCCGGCAGCGCCCGCAGGCAGCGGAGGGACACCCCCCCCCAATGCCAAGGGCTCCCCTCGATTGATTCCAGGGGCTGCCCAGGTTTGCAACTGGAAAAACAAGAGACCAGGCTCCTGGGAGATGGCGCTCTGGCCTCGGACTCCCAGCCTCGGAGGTTAAACCAAGGCTGGGGGCGCTGCCAGGCTCTGGGCTCCAGCAGGCAAATCATGAATGAAGCGCCAGGCTCCGCAGCACGACTTCACTTCCCGCCACTTGTCCGTAAACCTTATTTAAAAGTGGCCGAAGACTATTCTGATTTAGAGACTGCAAACACACTGAACCCTGGAAGCCCCTTCCCCGCTGCGCTCTTTTTTTTCCGAAAGGGGGGAAACATCCACGCTTCACCTTCAAGCACCCCGTGTCAGCTTTAAGGGGCGCGGCTCTGGGGTCCCCGTAACGAGGTGACCTGCCCCGAGCCAGGTGGCCCTTTTGCTACCCGAGATCCGCGCGCCAGGCGCCCCATTCCCTGCCGCCGGCGACGCTCCGCAATTCTCGGAAAGTTTGCCACACGCTTCACTCCTCAGAGGAACAAACTCCCTGTAGGAAATAACGGGGCCGTTTTCACTATCAGATGTTAATTCTGAGGTTAAAATTAAAAAAACTAGGCTAGCCCAAGGGTCCTACTGGTGAGCGCATTTGGACTTTAGTCTGTGGGGTTGAAGCAGCGGTCCGGAGGGCGCGGACGCGTCTCCGCCCGCGGCGACCGCGGTGCAAGGAGGACAATTTTCAAAAAACGATTCTCACCCCGCCGCGGCGCTCGCCACGCCCGGGGTCCATTCCGGCCACGCCGCGGGCCGCCCCTCGCCCACGGACCCCGTAGACCCCGCGTCGCGCGCCGGGCGCGTGTTCCATGGCCCGGGACGTCGGGCGGCGACGCGTCTTCTCTCTTGTCCCTCGGAGCCGAAAACAACGCCCCATCACGCGGGAGCCCCGGAACGCTCCGCCGCGCAGGTGGCCCTCGGCGGAGGTGGCTCCGCTCCCGACGGCGCCCGGGGCTGGCCCGTCCCGCGCGCTCAGGGACCCCGCGTCGCGCTTACCTCGGCCATCCTGCGG